CTTTCTTCCTTCCCTCTTCTTCCTCCCTCTTTTCCTCCCTTTCCCCTTCCTAGATATCCAAGGAGAGGATTGTCTATAATCAAATAACTCCTCCCAAACCCCAAATTTCCACAGGGAACAAACAGCCAGGAGAGACCCAGACCACACGAGGAGGGAACCAGCATCTCCTTTCTATTTCTGCTGTTGCTCTGTGCAGCAGATTTGATACTTAGCACCAAGTAATTGGTTTTTAAACGAATTATATTGGGCTTTAACCAATTCTAGCTCCATAGGATAAGGTGCTCTCTTCCTCTGTGCAGGTGAGGGGCACATCCCTGTTCTGTGCAGGCAGGAGTGAGGTGAAGATTTTGGATTTCTCGCTGTTCACACACCTAGAGCCACCCTGGAGAAGTGTGTGCAGGGGGCTCAGCAATGCACGTGGTGTTTATCCACAGATGACTCGGTGCTGTTGCCAAAGGATCCAGATCCACGTCATTTTTCCTGGCAAGGAGCTCTGGATCCTTTGTGAGCTGTTTCCAATTATTATATTAACCGGGAAAGTAAACAATGCCATGCTATTAGATAGAGCTGGCACGAATAAATGCTGCTGCTCCCTCTCCAGACTTGATTATTATTAAGAAATAAAAATATCAGCTTCAAATAGAGCCTAATACGGATTAAATGAACAGCATGTTCTGTCTCAGCTGGACAAATATATCTGTGATTCCAACTTAGTAGCATGGAATCATGGAATGGTTTGGAAGGGATCTTAGAGCTCATCCCCCTCATCCCCTGCTATGGGCAGGGACATCTCCCCCCAGCCCTGAAATAAATCCCCTCCAATGGATATGTCTGGAGCACACCACCACCCTCATCAATCCAATTGCAGCGTGCTATGAAACCTCCCCGTTCCTCAGACGTTTGTGCAATGCTGTCTCTGGTGCTTGGCTTCTGCTTTACTGCAGGGAAAATGATCCTCTTTTGTCCCTCTCACATTTTAGGAATTTTCCCACTCCCTGCCTTGCTCACTGAGCAGCCTCGAGCTGCCACAAGCTGCAGTTTCCCTTCTTCCCTTACAGTTTCCCTTCTTTCCTTGCAGCTTTCATTCATTTTGTGCTCCTGTCCGCAGGGATTGTTTCAGAGCTAATTCAAGAGCCGCTGTGTTGCCTGTAATTCATTTTTTTGTTGAGTTTGTTGAGCTGCTTTCCCCCGAAGTCTCCTGCACTCCCAGCCCTTCTGGGGTAGCTGCTGCTGTGTTTAACTGTGGCTCTGCCTCTCCAAGTGTCACAGCAGCCACAGGGCAGGAGCAGGGAGGAGATAAACGCTGCCCTGTCAGGGATCCACACTTCCCTGGGTGCCAAGGGCACGCAGCTGCAGGGAAAAGCCGTGCCAGGCACAGGAAGCCCAAAATGCCAGGGTGGATGTGGATGAGACAACAGCCCCGAGCCCAGCAGCTCTGCCAGGTCCCTGGGCTCTGGGGAATTGTCTCTCCTCATGCTGGGAGGTGGAAACACAGCTCAGGGAGCAGCTTGGCCTCCAGGTGCCAGCTCAGTCAGAGGCAGCTGGAAAAGGGAGCTCTGGCAGCCCAGGAGGGTCCGGGGATGGGATCTGAATTCTCTGCTCCGTGGGCCAAAGTGGGAGCTCCTCACCAGGACATGAGAGGGAAAAATCTGTGTCTCAACTGCTCTGTGTGTGTGTGGATGTGGGAGAGGAGAATTGGGAAAAGCAGTGTTTGGGTTTTCAGCTCCACTTGGCTCTTTTCCAGCCTTCTGTGTTGGAAAATAAAGAGTGTGTATGACATAAATTCAACGGTACAAGGTGTAAAAAAATTCTGTTTTTTTTTTTTTTCTGAAGGAATACTTGTTGAGAGTATGGATGCAGGATTTTCTGTTATTGGTATGCAGCGAGCCTGGAACCCTCTGATATGTAAATCAAGGTGAATATTTGGCCCAAGGTGACTTTAAATTTAAAAGTAAAAGTTCTTGGTATTACCCTTGTAATAAAATTAGCCTTTTTTCCCCCCAAATAATTGAATTTTATTATTGATTTCTGTGTTACAAGCTCTCAATTGGGCATTAACCTTTTTCAAAGAGTTTAGCTGGGGTGGTTTTTTTTGTCTGTTGAAATCTCTTTAAGATAAATTCAAATTTCAAATGCAAGACTTGACTGATACGTTCCAGGAGCTCCTCTCTTGGTGCCACTTGTTGTGTTTCAGGCAGAAACTGTTTCTGTGTTGGAGACATGACGTGATGCCTGGAGCTCATTGCATCCCCTTGGGTACAAATCCTTTGGTTTGGGGACTCTGGGACACAAATGCCACAAATGAAAAGAGGAGCAGAAAAGAGGAGCTGTTCCCTCCCCAGCCAAGTAGATGTTATATGGGGCCAAATCTCAGGTTTGAGGCATAATTTGAGCCTCGAGTTTCTTAAAAAATAAATGGGTGGGTGGGTTTAGGGAGTTTAAATTCCATTAAATGTAATGCAAACTCTACCTGAGCTGCATCTCTGTAAGTTAAGCTCCCAGTGTGTGAATCTCTCCCCAGTGAACACAGACCTCAGGGGGTGCTGGTGTTGGTTTGCAGGTGACAGGTGACAGGTGACAGGTGACAAACACCTTCAGGAGCAGCTCTCGGTGTGCAGCTCTGCCTCAGCCTGTTTGCAGCAGCAGCTCAGGAGCACTGGCCAGGCGGGGGGGTGCCTAATGGCTAATTAAAACCCTCTTTTTGTGACCAGTTACCGCGTTAATAAAAGGTTTCACTCACGTTGTCCTGGCAACAGAAGTTTTTGGGAGGAGCAGAGCTTGGCGGGCGCTCTGCCAGGCACAGGTGCCACGTGGGGACAGCAGGGACGCGGTGGTGACACGTCCAAAAACACCTTGGTCTGGCCAAGGAGGGATTGGGGTGGCCAAAAGGCCACCAGGGATGTTGGGCAATACCTTTGTGCTCCTCAGGTGCCCCCCGAGCCCTGTGTGTGACAGCAGCCCAAGAGCTGGGGGAATTCTCCAGCCTGAGGATGGGCTGTGGAGCGGCTTCTGCGCTGGTGTCACCGCCGGGATCCTCGTGCTGTGCCAGCTCCCAGCGCTCCCGCAGGTCATTAACAGGGAACACAAAACAAACACGATGTGAGCTCACCCTGCGGTGCCCAGGGACCTGTGCAGCCCCAGCCCCGGCTCTCCACAACGCTCATTAGGTTTGTACAAGCTGCGAGGAGTCATCCTGCTGTACATAATTTTAATTGCCTGCTCCACAATTGCCTGTCAAATATCTGCTCTGTCGCGTGGCATGACCTGCCTGCTAAACTGCAACAGGAATAAAAAAAAAAAAATACTGCAGAAAGTAAAAGGAAAAAAAAATCTAATTATGAACTAGAATGGCGTTCTCAATTTCTATTGCCATCTGCAGCCTGGTGCGTTAGGACCAGCACAAACAAATCAATAAAAACTGCGGCTTTTCTTCTGCTGCCTTTGGCAGTTGTAAGTAGTTTGTGCAGTGTTTGTGGGAGCACTCCGGTTCCTCCTCTCTGCTGATGTGCTGTCCTCAGCCAGGGTTTGCAAAACCTCAGCCAGGTTATTTGCAAAATCCAGGGTTGGGACGCGAAACTCCTCACCCGGAGAGAGGGCGGCAGCGAAAGGGTTAAAAGGAATTCTCTGGGCTGCAGCTTTAACACGTCTCTGGTGTGGAGGGCACGAAGTGAGTTTGGTAGGAGGTTCTTCGTGTGTGCAGCCTTGGCAGGGAGCAGAGCCGTGAGCTCAGAGGCGATGCGGGAGCGCCGGGGGCTGCGAGCTCCGGCCCCGGGGCAGCTCCGCGGGTCCCGCCCGGTGCTGCCAGCCCCGAGCACGGAGCTGCAGTGAAGCTGCTCCCGGCATGAGCCCCAAGCCCTCGCTCTCCCCCTGGGCTGAGTTTCCTAGAGAGCAGAGGGAGCGGAGGATGCGGAGAGGGCGATGAGCGGTCCCAGGGAGGACGGCCGCTGTCGCAGGGCCATCAGCATCCTCAGCGAGCTGTGCCAGAAGAAAATCCTGCCCAGCTTGGACCTGGACACCTGCAGGGAATTCCTCCTGCTGCCTTCTGACCAGAGCCTCATTATCTCCGAGCCAGGTACGGCCCCTGCTCCCGACTGCTGGAGGGTGCTTGTGGAAGGCAGGAGGGACACCCATCCCCTACAGGGGCAGGAAAATGTTTGGGAGCCCCGTGTGAGACCCAGGGCTGGGTCCTGGCACCCCTCTGGGAGGGTTCCTTCCCTTTCCACATGTTCCACGGTGAAGTTCTGGCTCACCTGTTGATGTGGAATGGGACGGCTGCAGGGGGCACAGCCAGGATGTTCTGGGCTGCTTCATGAGATAAAGTTCCTGTGAAAGTTCCTTTTTCAGAAACACAGACTCCTGTCCTGTATGAAACAAAACCAAACCAACAAAAAGCACTAAAGAGCCACTTTACTTAAGGCACTGGGATGGCAGGAACTGATCGGTGCTGTCCCAGCTGGAGAAGTGGAGGGAGTCCCACGGATTGCGTGGATTTCTGTTCATCACTAAGGGATCTTGATGTCCTTTCATGTGTGCGCTCTGCTTCCCCTAAGAATTGCCTGAGTTGTTCCTGGTCAGGTTGTAGAGGCAGGGAGGGACTTTGGTGTGTCAGGGATGAGTCAGGAGCAGGAATTCTGCTCCAGCAGCAAAGGGGCAGCTCTGTGTTGCAAAGTGGGGAATTTTCCTTAAACCTGTTCTCACAGCTGCTCCCTCCAGAGAGATTCCTGCTGCCCCATCAGAAGACATTGGCAGGGGCAGCTGGAACCCCAGGCCCGTGTGCTGAGGAGCAAAACCCCAAATCTCACAGCTTTTAGAATTATTAGTAACCTGCTGAAAGTTGTTTGTGTATTCCAACATTTTCATAGAGGGCTTCTTCTAAGGTTCCTGTGGGCAATGATCCATAAATCCAATGGATTTCACAGCGTTTTTTACAGCATGAGTTTTCACAAACTTTCCTCCTCTGCTGAGCACACTGTGCACAGCTCCTGTGCAGCACAGCTGCCCATCAATTCCTGCCCAAGGCTTTCTGTGTCACCTTCCCTCCCTTTCCCCTGCCCCTCTCTGCCAGGATCTCGTGCTGGGATGCAGCCCAGGGCACAGGGCACCGGGATTCTGCCAGCCCTGGGTTTGCAGTGCTGTGCTGATACCTGCAGGCAAACCCCTTCCTTTCACTTCCCACTTCACCTGTAACTTCAGTCTCTTCTTAAAATGAGTTTGTTTTATACCTGCCTATTCTGGAGGCCTCTTACTGCACCTGGTTGTGTCCTCACACATCACATCCCATGGAGCAGTTCTCTCTATTGCAAATAGAGCAAACAGCCTGCAAACTTATTGCATCGATTTGGAATTCTTTACCTTGCACCAAAATTAACATTTTCCTGACTCTGCAGCAGAAATACTCTGCGCTGCTCTTGTTCTGTCCACCCTGACATGACAGATCTGCATTTGTTTGTGCAGCCTGTCCAGGACCTGCTGTTCAGGAGGGATCACACCATCCTCAGCTGCCTTTAGCACAATGTCTGTGTGCTCTGAGCTGTGGGTGAGTGCCAGCCCCAGGGCCCTGGGCTGGGCTGGGCTGGCTGCACGAGCAGCCAGGGCTGTTGTCTCTGCTCTGCATGGCTGGGCCCATTTCTGTGTCTAGACAGCACTGAGGACACAGTTTGGGCCTGACATGTACAAATATTTCTCAGTTACTGGCTGCAAAGCTGCTCCAGCAAGGGGGAAAAATCTGTTTGCATCAAGTGTTAACTAATACAGTTAGAGAGGAACGATGCCTTCCCCATCAGGGTCTGGATGTTTATCTAATTATCTGCACTGATGCTTTGTCCATTTTCCCCTGAATCTCACGTTGAGCAGATTTGCTCTGGGCTGCCAGCCCGTCCTCAGGAAGGCAGGCAGAGGAAGGTGGGGCTGTGTGAAGGTGAGCAGATGGCAGCAGGCAGGAGCTGTGTCAGGAGCAGGGCAGAGGAGCCCTGGCTCCTGCTGGAGTGTCCCCGTGCGGGCAGCACAGCCCCAGCAGCCAAATGCCAAATTTGCTGGAGTCAAACTGGTCTTATTTGTCATCTTCATGTGGAGTCTCCAGCTTCTCGGGCAGTTTGTTGCCTCCTGGATAAATCTATTAACTCCTGGCTGGATCAGCTTGGCTTGTGGAGTGTCCTGCTGAAGCTCGGGTTGAAGGAAGCTCTGCCAAAGCTGGAGCCAGGCAGCTCCTGCACAGCTCAGCACAGGGACAGTTTGGTCTTTTCTGCTGTTTCATGCATGGATGAGGAGCAGCATCCTCAGGGAATGTGTGGAGCCAGGTATCACCAGCCTTGAACTGCATCCAAGAGTGGAAAAAACCCGTGAATATAAAAACACTACTAAATAGTTTATGTAAGAGTAAGTTTTTGTGTGGTGATTCAATTCTTTTTAAACAATTGTGGGCTGAGTGGGTGAAGGGGCTGCTGTGGATGGAGTGGATGCACCTCTACTCCCTGGTTATGTAAGAGCTGAATCTGCTCCTCTCAGAGCAGCCGAGCTGCAGCGTTTCTCTCGAGTACACCCAACAAAGGAGGATTGCAGGCTGCTGCCCGCAGCCAAACCCGTCACAAAAATGAGGAGTTTGGCTGGGGAAGGTTTTGGTGCTGCTGCATCAGTGGGGCTGTCAGGGGGAGCTCTCCCTGCAGTTGGGCCCGTGGTGGTGCCAGGAATAGAACTGATCTCCTGGCTGGGGATGGAGCTGCTGCAGCATCCTTTGTTGTGCCTGTCTCCTCTCTCCCCCGGAGCTCCCTCCATCTGATCGCTCTCTTCCCTGCCAGGCCTCAGCTGCCGTGCAGGGATGCTGGCAGTGTCACCGTGCTGTGGGCAGTGACACTGCCTGTGCTGTGAGGACAGCATTCACCGCAGGTGGTGGCCCCACAGGGGATGGACTCGTCCCTTCTGTGCCCTGGAGGGGCTGTGAGGGCTCGTGGCTGCAGCTGGGAGGGTTTGTGGTGCAGCTGTACTGAAGGGCAAAGTCCTTGGCAGTCAGGAGCCCAGAGCACCGTGGGGACAGTGATCTGTCCCCTCTTCCCGTCCCCTCTGCCCATGGCAGTGGAGCTGCAGCAGGCTCGGGGGTTTTTGGGGAGCAGGGTGCTCAGAGTGGTGCTGGGGGGTCCCTGCCAGCTCAGGAGGTTCTGTGCTCCTGTGGCTCCCCAGAGCTCCCCGGGCTGGGTCCTGCTCCTGTGGGCTCACGGAGCCTGGCTGGGGACAGGGGCTGCCAGCCCTTCCCAGGAGAAAGGGGAAGCTTGGAATGATCCTGCAGGGCTGAGTGCTACTGAAGAGAGTAGGTTTTGATGGGATATTGGGAGGAATTCTTCCCTATGAGGGTGGGCAGGCCCTGGCACATCCCAGAGCAGCTGTGGCTGCCCCTGGATCCCTGGAAGTGTCCCAGGCCAGGCTGGACAGGGCTTGGTGCACCCTGGGACAGTGGAAGGTGTCCCTGCCATGGCAGGGGTGGAACTGGATCATCTTCAAACTCCTTCCCACCCCAACCAGGCTGGGATTCCATAATTCTGTGTCTGGAGCCGTTGTGTCGTGATGTTGATTTAAAGGATGGTGCCTGGGTACAGGAAGGAATTTATCCTGGGATCAGAGCACATCCAGGAGAAAACCTCTGGGTCTGATTTCTACCTTCAGCACTTCTGTGCTGGGACTCTCTTTAAACAACCTGAGTTGTTTTTTCATGCCTTAGTGATCCATTTGTCCGAGGCTTGGCTGCCCCGTGGAAGCAGGGCAGGAGGCAGTGGGTGATGTGCAGAGGGGCTGCAGGATGTCCCCTGTTCATCTCAGCAGGGTGAGGACCCTCCTCAAACCCTGACCCACCCCAGCAAAACTCTCCCGTGCTTTCCTGCTGCTGGAGGAGAGAGCTGGAGGGAGAGGAGGGAACAGGACAGCTGGGGAGGGAGGACACAGAAAACCCTTCTGATAATCCCTGCTCCCAGCACACGGGGCCAGCTCTGCCGTGCTCCAGCCCCCAATAACTCAGAGCACATTTACTGCCTTGCCCCTTGTGTGAACTGCTCTTTTTGAAGGTCCTGGTGCAGGCAGTACAGCTTGTACAGCGCTGAACACCCTCCTGGCACTTGGCAAAGACTATTAAAATGTTAAACCAAGCACAGAAGTGTTCTTGCTGCGGGCAGAAAAAGGGGGGAATTTCTGGGCAGTAAAGGATTTTTCATCGCAGGAACTTTGGTGCTGAAAGATCATTTTTTAATTGAGAAATTGCTTCTGGAGTATTTTCTGGGGAAAATATCCCCTGATAGATTAGCTTGACTAATGGGAGAACTGATGACACCTCCATTCATGGTTATGGGATGCTTTCAACCACTACCTGTGAAATATGGGCATGTCTTGAATTTACTCACCAGGCGTAATAACAGACTTTTCTGAATTGCCATTCGAGTGTATTTTAAGTCAATATAACAGTAAACATGCTCCAAGCCACGCAGGCAAAGCTAATATTAATCACTGAAGCTTGAGTTTCCAGAGGCCTGGCATGTGAGGAGCAGCTCCTTGGGGCAAATATCTTTTTTATCACAGAGTAATGCACTTGCAAAATGGATCTTGCCTTTCCTCCCAGGAAAGAGCCTGCCAGAGCTACGTGCAGCAGATTTGCTCTTTAGCCCCACTAAAGCAGCCTCGAATCCTGGAGGTATCAGGTTCAAACCTTGCTGCCAGAGGAAGCTTTGTAAAACTGTATTGAAATAAGGTTGAGCAAATCGAGGGAAAAACGGATTAAATCGCCTGTCTACAGCCATGTGTCTGTGCTCGTGCATGGTGTGCGGATGTGTGGCTCTCCAGCTGCCTGTGGCTATGCTCTGTGACGGTCCTGGTAAATAAAAGCCCCTCTGGAGCTGAGAGGAGTGTGCGAGCACCTCTCTGCATAGGCGCAGCTTTGCAGCCGCCTAATTGCTGCTGCTTGGTTCATTCCCGAGGCAGAGCAGGGAGGCTGCTCGTGTTTGTAGCTCGGTGTTTGTAGCTCCGTGAGGAGCCGGGAGCCTGTTCGGATGCAGCTGCAGTAGCCTCATGCATAGTCAGGGACCAGCATCCCCAACT